AGTGAAGTAGGTAGATTAAGTATCCATTTTTTACAGTAGAGGTGTCAGGATTTGCTAATGGATTGGGTGAAGGGTGTGAGAGAGAGAGAAAGGAGTCTAGGTTGACTCATAGGGTTTTGACTATCAACTGGCCAAATGGTGGCACCATTTACTGAGCTAGTGAACACTAGTGAACACTGGAAGAGCAAGTGAGTGGGACTGGGAGTGGGGTGGGGGACGTGGTAGTGAGGAATCAGGAATTCTGTTTTTTTTTCATATCTTGGTTAAGCTTAAACTCCCCTTTAGATAGCTAAGTGGAAATGTCAAGCAATTGGACACACATCTGCAGTGAAAATGAGATGTTGAAAGGCTAGAGATAAATATTTGAAAGTGATAAGTATAAAGATGTTACTTTACATCAAGCGATAGAAGAGATGGCATTGGGCATGACAGAGAAGAGGTTGGGAAGAGGAGGAAGTGCCAACAATGGAAACTAAGAAGGGGTAGTCAGTGAAATGGGAGAACAATGAAGAGGTCCCAGTGAATTAATGAATGAGCTGTGTCCAAAGCTATGAAAAGTAGAACAAGAGGAGCATGGGGAATTAACCATTAAATTTGGCAAGGTCATTAGTTACCTTGGTCAGAACAATTTTAGGGTAATGGGGACAAAAGTTGATTGGGGTAAATTAAAGAGAAATTAGAAACTGAGGTGATGGCAGTATTGAGTTTTGCTGTACATTGTAACTGGAATAATGTGTAAGTAGCTGGAGGTGGGTGCTGAGGTCATGGGTAGGTTATATTTAAGAAGGGGGCTATTCAGGCCTGATGTGAGAATGTTGAATAAAGTGGGAAAGTTGATGATTCAGAAAAATCCTTGAGTAAACAAAGAGGGTTCATCGTAGATAGAAACCAGAGTAAAGGCAGAGTATATGGGTGCAGGTGGATTGGTAGATTTGAGGATACTTTAGAAAGCAATAAAGCTGAAGAGGGAATTAGTTACCATAAGTGGAAGATCTACACATGAATCATGAAGTAACCACATTATCCTTGTATACCAAACACAACAATGGCTGAAATTAATGTGGAAGTCCCATCTCTTCCCAAGCCAAAAGTCAGAAATCATTCTTTTTTAATAGTTGGAGAAACTTAGAAGCAGCTAGGAAGCTGAGGCCCCAGGTAAAGCCTGGGAAGAATCGTAGCAGTAGAAGGTGAGGCCCAAGGTATCTGAGCAACCTCCTTTGTAAACGGAATGGGCTTTCAGGGGTGATGTTCCCTTTTTGGAATGTGAATTTCATATTGAGACAGTAATACATAATACAGTGAAACCTGTGAGAACCAGAACTTGATGGGACTGCCTCATTTTTCCAGGTTTCACAAGTTTCCTGCCTTTGACAGGGTGCCGTCTGACCACTCTTCTATCACTGTTAATGGGAAATATTTGAGTTTTCCTTCTCTGACAAGTTTTTGCCTTACTCGGGTTTTGACTTTTGCACATTTTACTGCACATACCTTTAACTGGCTAGAGAATTGATAAAATTTTTCAGGGCCACTGAGTATTAAATTCCCAGCATCCTAATCAGATCTGGTTTTACTTTGTTAGTAATCATTCCTTCAGGTCTAGGAGTGGAGGAAAGGCAGAGAGAGGATGTGAGGGCTGGCCTTGCACTTGACTGTAGTCAACCACACAGAGTTACTTCCTGTCGTAGTGCTAACGTAAAATCAAGGTTCTTTCTTCAGAGAAAGTCCTGTCTGCTATTTTCATAGCCCACTGCTGACTTTTTAAAGTTTGGAGAATGGGCATTTTGGAAGGAAGGCTAATGGATAAAATATGGATTGCACATTTCATCTTGAGAGCGTTATCATGTAGGATAACATTATGGGGTTTAAACTAATTCATGGCTAGAGCTCTGATAGTGGAGGGTGAAAGAGCTCAGAATAAATATTTAGGCTTTGAATGGTGCCCTGATTGCCTCTGATTGGGCAAGAGGTGAATCAGCGGAAGGAATTGCTTAGCTTGCAGGCTGACAGGGCCTCCCGGTCATAGCATCTGAATTGGTTTTAAGCTGTAGGGCCGTATATAATGATACATTGCATAGTCTAATGCAGTCCTATTAAATACATAGTCTTAGTGACTGGAATACATTTTTAGGAATTATTTAAAGTGCATGTGAATTGAATATAAAAAAAAATACTTAATTCTGATCAAACTTCAAACCTTCTTCATTTAGAAACTTGAAAAGGTCTGAGTGCATCCCTGTGAGTATGTTAATTACCCTTCTAAGCTATTTTCAACTGTCTTAAATTCCTTACTGAACAAGGCAGAGGAAATGTAAATATTGCATAAATTAAGACAGAACACTTTGAGAGCCCCTCCCCTACTAGAGTTAGCAGGACCTTTGTTCTTTCTCACAAAGCCTCAATTAATACTGAGTTTCCACACGTGCTAGGTGCTTTCCAGTTTATAATTCCCAACAGAATCTTCGTTGGGTTTGATCTCCTAAAGGAAAATGAAAACAGTACTCATGTCTTCAGGAATCCGGTGTAATCAGACTAGCCTGCTTTGTTGTTAAATTCTGTGGGCTTTTTCAGGATCAAGTACACGTTACGCAGTCTACACTTCCTCGTAGTATCGCTGTGGAGCCTGGCATCACCACCTGCACTGGCCTCAGCTGCAGAGCTAGGCATCCAGCGATTCCATTAGCTCATTCCGCAGCACTGCGTTTGCTTTCTCACTCGACGTCCCTGCCCTGGGACGTCTACATTTGCAGTGTTCTTTATCAGGAGCACTCCGGTTTTGGTCCTCCAGTGCCGCTCTGACAGGAGCACCACGAGTGGGTGCTTTTAACAAACAAGCATTTATTCTCTTACGGTTTGGGAGACTGGAGGTGTGAGATCAAAGTGCCAGTGCTAGGGGTTGGGTGAAGGCCCCTTGACCTTGGGCCTTGGCTCTGCCTCTTGTTCCCGGCCCACTGAAGCTGGAGGCTTCTCTTAACTCAGACAGCTGCTGGCTGGCAGACCCAAGGTTATCCAGCAACACAGCAGGCCACTAGTTCAAGTCCAGAAAACAGTCCCAAGATCAGCAGACAACTTGGCAGGCCACGCAGATCAAGACTAAGCTACACGCAGGATCCAGGTGTGCCAAAAAGCTCTGAGACCTTTCTCAAAGCTGCTTCATATAGACTGGAAACAGACTACCTTCCTAAGGCAGCTTCTCAGCTGCTCCAGTAGATTCCACCGTGGAGTTGATTACCAGTCTCATCATGGGGAATAACTATATCCAGCTGCCCTGCCACTCAAACCAGGCCTGGCACAGTTGACAAACAACTGTCATAACTCCCTTCCTAGATCTCACCTGGCTGGCTCCTTTGGTTGTTCAGCTGTCCATTCAAAGGCTATTCCTTGGTCACTCTAAGCCAGAGCCACCGTCTTTCTCCTTCACTATGTTATCTTCAAAGCCCTTAGAGTTTTCTGAAATCATCTAATTTTGTTATTATTAGAATGATCATTGTTATCATGATTGTTATCGTAGTAATGTTGAGACTTTCCTTTGTGCCTTTTACAAAGATCATTCTATTTAATGTAAAATTTCGGTAACAGCAGCTAACATTTATTGAGTACTTACTGTTAGCCAACTGGGCTAAACACTTGACCACACTGGTCTAGGTCAATGTCATTTCTTGCTTGGACTATGACAGTAGCTTCCTAACTGGTCTGTCTTTGCCTGTTTTAGCCTCATTATAATTTGTTGGCCACATAGCAGTCAGAGCTTTTTCTAAAATACAAACCGACATCATGAATGCTTCCACTCCTGCCAGAACCTACGGGTGGCACACAAGGCCCTGTGTGATCTTACCCTCTGCAGCCTCTTTGCCTCATTTCTAACCACTCTACGTTCCTCGCTCCCTTCCGGCCACAGGGTCCAAAATGCGCTTCCTCCAGGTTTCTGCATGACTTTGTTTCTTACTTCTTTCAGGTCTCTGCTGAAATGTCACCTCCTATAGAGACCTTTCCCAGCTACCCTGTAAAAAGAGCACTCTAGTTATTCTCTATTTCCTTATCCTGATTTATTTTTATTCACCTGTTTCTAGCCAACATTATAATACTTACTCTCCTTCATTCAGCAAATATTTGTAGAATGTTTACTAAGTACCAGACCCTGTTCTAGGCACTGGGTATAAGCAGTCAAAAAAATGGGCAGATATCCCTGTTGACATTGAGGTTGTCCATGAAGGAGGGAGCCATACAACAAATTCTGTAATTAAGTCAAATATATAATATATTATATTGTATATTTAACATGGAGAAAGCAGGACAAAAGGCTATGGAATGACAGAGCAAGAGGAGGAGTGTTCACTTTAAAATAAGCCAACCAGTGGACGATTGTGCAAAGGCCTGAAGGAGGGGAGGTGGGGAGCTGTGTCCAGAGCATTCTGCACAGAGGGAGCATCAGGCACGGAGACGCTGGAAGGGGTGCATTTCTGGCACGTCCAAGGAGCAGCCTGCAAGCCTGTGTGGGGCAGAGGGAGCAAGGGCTGAGGGCAGAGATGAGAGGTACCAGGCCCTGTGGCTTTCCTTTGGGGTAATTTGAGCAGAGGGACATCTTGAGCTGACTTACATTTCTGAAAGATCCCTCTGGTCATTGTGTGGAAATAGACTTTAGGGGAGCAAGGGTTGAATTAAGGAGGCTAGCTAACCCAGGGAGGATTGGATGGGCCAGGACCAGAGTGGACCAAGGTGGTGAGAAGTGATCGTGGTGTGAACCCCTTGTTCCCAACCCCCACATATCTAGAAAACATAAGAGACAATGCTGTTCCACTGACTGTTAGGTTTTAACGCCTGAACTGGCTGTTCTTTCTGTTAGGAAAGAGAATCTCATTGAAAGCCCACCTATAATTGTTTCAGGAAGTGTTCATAGAGTGCACCAAGTTGTTTTGCAGATAGGCCTGTGGTCATATTTCTTGTACAGTCACCTTGACCGTCTTCATTTTCCCGCACATAATCATGGCACTCTTCCCTTGTAGGACTACGCCCATCTGTTGACCTGTGTTACGGAAAGAGAAAAGTTTATTGTGCCAATTAAAGCGAGAGGCGCACGAGCCATCCTAGATTTCCCTGACCAGCTGAATTTTTCCACTTGCCCTGTCAAATACAGCACTCAGAAGATCCTGCTGGTACGAAACATTGGCAACAAAGATGCTGTGTTTCACCTCAAAACTCATAGGTATGCATTCCTTCAGCTTTTGTTTTTGACTGATTGTAGCTAAATGTAGTCAGCACAAGTAATTTACTAAAATAGCCGTCGGGGTGGAACTGCTAGCTACCGTCTTCAATTGCAAGGCTGGGAGACCTCATGGATGTAAGGCAGACTGGGCGTTACTCATCTTAAGAGGGAACTACAATCCAGTGCTTAATATTTTGGAATTTAATATCTAATTAAATTATCATATCTGATTGGATAGGGATGGTTTTTTAAAATATTGGGTAAAAGTCATTCTATTTAGTATAGAGAATGACCCATGGAAATTTATTAATAAACATTGTTTTGACCAATAATTTTATAATTAACTATATTAGTTTTCTATTGTTGCTGTGACAAACTGTCACTTGCTTAAAAAAAAAAAAAAAAAAAGAAAAAGCAAACCTATTGCCATTGAGTCGATTCCTACTTACAGCAACCAAATAGAACAGAGTAGAACTACCCCATAGTGTTTCCAAGGCTGTAAATCTTCACAGAAGCAGACTGCCACATCTTTTTCTCATAGAGTAGCTGGTGGATTCCAACCTCTAACCTTTTGGTTAGCAGCCAAACACTTAACCACTGCACCACCAGCTGCAGTTGACAAACAACTGTCACAGCTCCCTTCTTAGATCTCACCTGGCTGGCTCCTTTTGTTGTTTGTTCAGCGTCCATTCAAAGGCTCTGAAGAAGATTACCTTCTGGGTTTCTTCCTGATGAATAAAAATGACATCCTGCACAATTGGTAATCTCTAGGATAATAACATCCCATTTAAACCCTTTCACAGAGGTGTGAGCTTCCATTCGTTGAAAGCAGTGACATACTGGCCAGTGTCCATTGGAATGCTGTCAGCATGCCCTGGGCTGAGGGAAGGTAGCCCTGGGGAAGTGGGAGTGTGTGGTGTGAGAGCAGACCCAGGTGACTGTCAAAGCGCTGCCTTCCCCATTCTAGTCATTCTCTTACACAGAGGAAGGGAGGGAAGGAGGGAAAAAAGACAGGAGAAAAGAAGTAGAGATGATGAATAGTCAAGTTACTTTAGAACAACTTGCATACATTGGGGACAGTGTATGTGTTATAAGAATGATGATCGCTGCATTATGGGGAAACTAATTGCCCTCAGACCCATTCCTTGCCTTTCCCCCTAATCTGCTCAGTATCTCCTTGAGTCTGAGTCTGCCTTCCTAGGCTCCTGCGGCAGCTGTCTTTGGCTGGAATTGACTAGTTGGAGGTACCAGAAGGAGATTGGGGAGTAGGGAGAAGGAATGAGTGAGCATATTTTTCCACGTTCCTCTCTGTCTTCAGAGACACAGCAGTAGCTGTGTCTCCTCCATGGTTCTAGTTCTGCTAGACAGAACAGACCTGCCCTGGTTCCAACTCTGCCAGGTGACCCCGACCCCCCAGATCTGGTAACATCTCCCCCTCTCCTTGTGCCTTCAGCCTGGGCTTGGAAATGGCTTCTTGCTGTGATTTATCCCTGGGCTACCTCCTCATCTTAAGTCGGACTTCTCATCTCTCTGATCTTCTTTGTAACCAGTTCTCTTGATTAAATTCTCTGTGTTGAAAATATTTTTGTTTTCCTTTTTAGAGGCTGCTTGATATAGCAAATCTGTATTCTTTCCATAAAATGCAAATTTTCCTTGAAGTCTTTTTGTTCTCTTTCTCCAGAGTTGAAGAGAACTTCTTGAAAACAGACTCTGGGAGAAGATTAATTTACTTATCCCATTTATTTATTTAGTCAACACTGATTGAACTCTTTTGAGGCACTAGGGATATGTTGTTAGGTGCCGTGGAGTCAATTTTCAGCTTACAGTGATCCTGTGTGACAGAGTAGGAAAGATATCCTTGGCTGTACTCGGTGGAAGCAGGTCACTGGGTCTTTCTCTGATGGAGTAACTGGTGGGTTCTTACTGCCAGGCTTCTGGATAGTAGCTGAGCACTTGCTTAACTGTTGCACCACCAGGTGAACAATACAAATTTCCATCGTTCTGGCATTTACATTCAAAGGGGGACAGGTGTTCAGCCATGCATCTGTCTGAAGAGAAGGTATTGCATGTAGACAGAAAAGCAAGTGCAAAGGCTTTGAGGTAGGAATTAGGCCTGGGGTGTTTGAGGCCAGTGCTGCTGGAGAAGAGAGCACGAGGGATACATGAGGCTGGAGAGGTCTGCTTTGAGGCTGGGCAACAGAATTTGACTTCTGAGTGCAAAAGGAAATCATTAGGATAATGTGATTGGTTTAAACGGACAGAGTGAACACTGGCCTTTTCCTCCTCTTGTTGCCAGTAAATTCCTTTGCTATTTTAGGGGCACCTCCTACTATGTGAATCTTGTTGAGAGGCAAGGCCACACCTCCCCCTGTGATAGCCAGAGGGGGCAGCCTTGTCATCATCACACCTTGGCTGCTGGTAAATAGATCTGTGACCAGGAGGTGACTAATCAAATGCTCCTGCTCACGACTTTGCACGTGGAGGAGCCACTCACAAAGATGCAAGGACCCTTAGAAGTAAAGTAACTCTTGGTGTTGGCAGCAGTGTTGAGAAGCGAGGTGCATAACCTCGAGGGCAGGTATCCAGTGGGTGATTCTAGCATCATCAGTAACCACTTGATCAACTGACCAGTGCATTGATGTTACTTTGGCTGTGTCCCCATCCATTGGTCTGGTCCTGATTCTCCAACTGTGTAATCAATTCTGCGAGCTGCTGCAAATTCTTGCAATACATTTCTGTTTAAGTTAGCCAGAGTTGGTTTCTCTTGTTTGCAGCTTACAACCCTGATGGACACAATGAGAAAGGTGTGGTTGAATTTGTGGTCACATCTTCAGTCACAGTCTCTGGGGCGATCCCTAAAACGTGCACAGGTGATTCTGTTGTGCAGACAGGATTGAGGACCACTCACTCTCTCAGTTAAGATGATTGTCAGTAGACATGACAGAGCAGTGGAGAAAATTTGGAGTCAAAAGACTGGCTTCTAATTGTTAATGTATCTCCCAGTAAATTGCTTTAAAAAATCATATTTCTCATTGACATAATGACTTAATTAATGGTTAAGTTTTTAAAATGGTTATCTGTTGACCTATTGCTGTCAAGTCACTTTGAAGTCATAGTGACCGTGTAGAACAGTAGAACTTCCCCATAGGGTTTCCAAGGTGGTGATCTTGGAACCAAACTGGCACATCTTTTTTCTGTGAACATCTAGTGGGTTCGAACCTCCAAGTTTTTTATTAGGAGACAAGTGCTTAACCACTGAGACACCAGGGTTCCTTTTAAATGGTTAAGTTTGTATAAATTACCTTTAAAAGCTTTCTCTACATGTCTATAGCTGGACTATATGAAGAAAAACGTGGTATCAGGATTGGAGGAAGAATCATTAACAACCTGAGATATGCAGA